AGGGTTTAAGCGCTCTCGAACTGGTCTTTTCACTGAGCTCTTTCTATGGCGTACCCTAAATCCGTCGATCCGTCCCTCTGGTGGGATCCGTTCGATTCTCTTCTCACGGAACTCGAGAATGCCTCTCTCTCTGATGACCTCCCTCAGTCCATCGTAACATCTCTCTTTCTCTTTATATGCTAATTCGATATGGGTAGTCTTTGGGCAGCGATACTGGTGCTATTTTGGTCTGCTATTATCAATTTTCAGGTGAAGGAATTGGAGGAAAACCATGCGTGGTTCGTTAACACTCTTTCGATGTTCAAGCCACCGAGTGTGAAATCAAAAGAAGCTTTGAATTCGGATCTAGTCAAAATTAAGGAGCACCAGTTGGTGATTAAGCCCGAACTAAAAGAGAAAGCGCTTCGAATCAGCTCATATCTGGTTAGTTTATTTGCGATTCGGAAATTTTTAATCGAGCTCGAGCAGATAGGTTTGAAAATGATTACATATTTCTATAATTCGCTTTGTAACTTGTCCAAACTGATTAGTGGTATGAGTGAAGATGATTGTATTAAGTATTTTTTTCTTAATTTCTGAAATATTTGCCAGAATCTAGATGAAGTCCAATCATACATCCTTGTGGAAAGATCTATGGAGCAGGAATATGGAACAGCTGACTCGGCAGCTCAAGAATTCGTTGATGTGGTTAGTAGTTTATGAGTTTCAGCTTCCTTTGAAAATTTTCAGTGTTCATTTTTGCATACAAATTCAGGTTTTGTTGAATGAAATTGAATCTTGTGAAATGATAAATGAGTTAGAATTCACAAGTTTTGTAAAATAACTGTTTTCTTTGTTTACGGTTATGCTATGCCTTTTGAGTATCCTGATTTCTATTTCTGATATAAATTTGTAACGAATGAATTCAAGAAATATTCATCCAATACGGTAGCATTATTATCCGCAATCTGTTACTTGTGTATTATGGAGCTTGTTGCTATCATAGCCATATCAATAACATGAACATACCAGCTTTATAAGTGGTGATGTGGCTACTTGTTTCTGCGTTTTATTCTCCTAGTTAGTTCTATCTATGGCTCATTATAATGTAATTGTTCCTATCTGATATTTTCGCCAATGACTTTTAATTTGTAAGCAGCTAGGATTTCACCTCTTATTTTGTCAGCTTTCTTACTAACTTTTTGCTGTTCTTTTGTAACTCTTTTCCAATGCGATTTTTGAAGATACTGCTTCAATATTACGTAGAGCGGCAGTGCCTACTAAAGTGTACAAAGCGTATTCTCATCCATGCCTGTAAGTCATGATTTCGTTTTTCCCTTCTTTTTTTTCCAGTCTTTCCTAGTTTTAGATGCTTAACAAAAATGGGCTGTATAATTGTATATTTAGCTGCTACTAATGAAAATAAAATATTGTTTTTCGATGATGCCACATTTGCCATTTCTGTCTTTTTTTTTCCAACTGATTGTAGCATTTGTACAGTATATGCAGCAAGAGAGGAAAGTACTATTAGGGATGAAGCTCTAAAGCTGATCTCAGATGGTCTTGAAAGACAACAATCATCAGTACTTGAGGATCTTTTGTCCTCTTGTTTTCCCCAGCAGATGGTATGTATTCAGAGTCCTTACTCTTCATAACATCTCATTTGATCTTATCATTAAGTAGGACCCTAGGTACTACTGATTTATCATTCCAATCAACACTGTTGGTCCAAATTTGATTTTATCTACAAAACTTTTGTAGGATGTCAATCTATTTACTTTGTGGGCGGAGGAGACACTAATTGAGGACAATTTGGTTTTGGATATTCTTTTCGTTCTTTACCATGACTCATTTTCCACTTGTAATGGAGAAAGATGGACAAAACTGTGTTCGTTCTACAAGGTATCTCGAGTTACCAGCCACATGCTTAAGGCTGGTTCCAGTTGTTTCTGTAACCAACCTTATTTATTGATAATTGCTGTGGTGCAGGGAATCCTTTTGGGGTCCTATAATTTTGGGAAGCTGGTAGTGTCAGCTGAAGCACAGCATTCTGCATGTCGTGTAAAAATCCAGTTGTTGATGATTCTTATTGAAACGTTGGATATGGAGAATCTGTTACAAATGGTCCACGACGGAGTACCTTTCAGGTTTGTTTAACTAACTCTATAAGTACACAGCACAGAGAAAGTTAACTTTCTTCAATCAGCAATTTCCCTTATCCTACTTTCCCCTGAATATGATTGCCTGAAGGTTCTATTTTTTCTTATAAGGTCTGGCCGGTGTGTTTTTTCCATTATTGATGTCCAAGAGATGGATGCAACAATCTCTAGTCTCAACACTTTCGAAGTAAAAGAAGCAGGACCTCTAGTTCTTGCATGGGCAGTGTTTCTGTGTCTTATTTCATCACTTCCTGGGAAGGAGGAAAGTCCGTTCCTGATGGTATGAAAGTGAGAATACTTCCATTATCTAGTCAGAGGCAACACATAGTTCATGTATATGTATTTAATTTTTCTTGATAACCAGGAGATAGATCACGTGAGCTATGTTCATCAAGCTTTTGAGGCAGCATCCTTGAACTATTTCCTTGAAATCCTTCAAAGTAATGTGTTGAGTGATTTCGATGTAAGTTACGAGATTAAGTTCCAGTTACCAAGCTTGACTTGATGTGTTTACATGCCATTGGCATTTATTTAGCTATAGAATAATGTTGTGAGTTCTATTTCACTAATCCTCTGCAAGTTTTCTTCATGTCATCCTTCCCTATGTTGATTCTATCATTATTCTAAACTCTTTCCAGGGACCAGTCTCTGGTTATCGTAGTGTCTTGAGGACTTTTATTTCAGCATTTATTGCGTCTTATGAGATCAATATTCAGGTAAAACTCCATTAATTGTAGATGGTATATTGTATAATTGTGAACTGTTTCAAAATTTTACTCGTCTCTACTTTATTTGGCAGCTGGAAAATGCTACCCTCGAGTTGATACTGGACATCCTTTGCAAGGTTTATCAAGGAGAGGTATGGTTCATTCATGTTGTCCCTAACTTTTTTCTCTATGTTACACATCCATAAATGCTCATTGTGTGCCTTAATTTTTCAGGAGTCCCTCTGTAGTCAGTTTTGGGATCGAAAAAGTTCTGTTGATGGCCCTATCCGCTGTCTTCTCCTTGATTTGGAGAGTGAATTCCCATTCAGAAGTGCTGAATTCATACGTCTCTTGTCGTCCCTGAGTGAAGGAAGTTGGCCTGCTGAATGTGTGTAAGTAGTAATCGGACGATATGCTATGTGCATGTATGTACTTTTATCTGGAACATTTCTAGACGAGAGCAATGTTCTGCATAAAGGCAGGATACTCGTCACAGTAAAGAATTTCTTACATCATCCCCTTCATTCTGCTGTACTTTCTTTGTGCAGATACAACTTTCTGGATAAATCAGTCGGGATATCAACCTTATTTGATATTACTAGTGACTCTCTAGTGGGTGATGCCTCCCAAATTGTTGAGACTTCTCGCCGGTTGAATATTCCAGGTCTTGAAGGTTTAGTTATTCCCAGCAATACTCGTGGGCAAATTATGAGAATAGTCGGTGAAAATACTGGCCTTGTACGGTGGGAGGTAAGTGATATCATCGTCAGATTAGTATAACTTTAAAAAAATTATTCACAAATAAAAACCCTCCATTGTTATCTATTTTGTATTGTTAGTGCTGTTAAATGGTTTAGCTTGAGAAATACTGATTCTTGAAGTACATTGTCTTTTCCTAGTATTCACTATCCGGCGTGACAGTGTTGATCATCCGTTTGGCCAATGAACTCTACAGTGGTAACAATCGTGAAGCCTTTGTGACTCTCGAGCTGCTTCGTCGAATGGTAACATTTAACAAGGTAACTGCATTGCTCTATCCTCATTTTTATGCAGATTCATGAAGTTGGATTGCTTTAGTATATGTATACCATGAGATAGACTGTAGCCTTATCTTCTTTCGAATCAATTCTTCTCTGACCTTTCCAAATATTAATCTAAGACTGTATGTTTGGACGTCTTTTCTGTCATAAAATATGCATTCTTATTTTTCTTACCTGACCAGGGATTCGTTAGTATGTGCATGAGATAGACTATGTCTTTGTCTTCCTTAGAATCAATTCTTCCCTGAACATTTTCGCAAAATATTAAT